GACGCAGAGGGACGTACTATCGCTGTAGCGGTGGAGGAGACAGGCTGGAGGGAGCTATGTGACAGCCAGTTGGCTCTGAGGATCGTGTGAGTATAACTTTTTTGTTCTTAATCTAGACAAAATCGCGCAGTTAGCCCTTGCAGTGCGGGGGTAGCCCCACTGCAAGGGATAATAAAATGTGTGCCCAAGTTATTATTATTATACAGGATTTATATAACGCCAGCAGTTTGCGCAGCGCTTTACAAAATTGAGGGAGACAATACAAATAACAATACAATTTCAGTACAGGAGGTAGGAGTTGCAGAGAATGGGGGACACTCTGGAAAAGTCCTGGAGGTGAGCATGCGAGGTGGTAACAAGAGAGCTGGAGGTCTTGGGAAGAGCGAAGGGGGTGGTTATTGTGAGATGAGGTGGGTGATGTATGTTGGGGCGGAGTTGTGGATGACTTTGTAAATTATTGTTAGAATTTTTAATTTTATACGTTGATCAAGTGGGAGTCAGTGGAGCGATTGGCAGAGGGGGGTGGCGGATGCTTATCAGTTGGTAAGATGTATGAGTCTGGCAGCAGTGTTCATGATAGACTGAAGGGGGGATAGCCTGTTTAGTGGTAGGCCAACAAGGAGGGAGTTACAGTAGTCAAGGCGAGATATTACAAGGGAATGAATTAGAAGCTCTGTGATATAATTTGTTAAAAAGGGACAAATTTTGGAAATATTACGGAGGTTGAGTCGGCAAGATTTGGATAGTGATTGGATGTAGGGCTTAAAGGAAAGCTCAGAATCAAGGATTACTCCGAGCCCCCTGGCTTGATGGGAGGGGTTGATTGTAGTGCTGTTGATTGTGATGGAGAAGTTGGGGGAGGGTATACGAAGAAGAGGAAATAAGTTCAGTTTTGGACAGATTTAGAGGAAGTGGTGTAACATCCACGTAGATACTGTACAGTATGTCAGTGAGTAGGTTAGTGATGCGTGAAGAGATAGAAGGGGTGAGCTGAAGGGTAGAGAGATTCTGTATATCAAATACTACATGCATTTACCAAAATGTTCAAGAGTTGCCTCATTTGTTCGTGAAGCATTGTAACAACAAGACATAGGAGGGGATTTATAGAAACTGGAGTTAATGTGAAAGGCAAAGTATTGGGAGAGAAAAATCTGCTCTTCCCAATACTAGAATACTTGAAAACTGGATCAGACAGAATCTGGAGCAGTTGCCCATAGTAAGCAATAAGCTTCTCTCTTCAGTTTGTTCAGGTACTTGTTAAAAATTAAAGGAGAACTATAAGGTGAGTGCTTTTTCACTCACCTCATAGTTCTAGCCGACCTGTGACAATGATACTGTCACAGGTCGGCTCAGTAGATCGGGAGGTGAGCGAACACATACCGGCGTTCGCTCACCTCTCGATCCTGTCACGGCTCTCTGCCGTGACAGGGGGATGGAGCTGGATTCCCCTATCCCCACTCCCATCTGCCAGCGCTGACTGGCGGAACGGACGGGGGAGGGGCGGGTACAGCTGGCTCTGCCTCTAGATAGGCAGAGCCAGCTGTCACTCACGCAGCTGGACGGATTCCGTCATCTACATCGGGATCCGCTGCGGCGTCTCAGTATACCGCGAGCTGCAGCTCGCGGTATACTGAGCTTAGGGTAATGGGAGGACGCTAGTTTGTGTCCTCCCGTTACCCTAAGGAGAACTATGGGGAAAAACACTGACCCCCCATAGTTCTCCTTTAAAGATAGCAGCTGATTTACTATGGGCAACTACCCTAGATTCTGTATGCTCCAGTTTTGATATATTTCCCTCGTCGTGTTTTAATTACTTACCTTTAGGTGAATGAAGAACATTGCTTGAGCAGTTCCAGTATTATTATTTTTTGGTGAGATGTGGTTTTCTCCATATTAAAAACTTCCAGTCTCAATGAAACAGACTAAACTAATTGGAAACATTTACTCTTTGATTGGAACACTTGAGTCCAGTGACCCTCTGTTAATGAAGTTATAATAAAAGACATTCACATCCTTTTTCTATCAACGAGTCATTTGCTCAAAATACATTAGCAATGTAAAATGTGGTGTGTTTGACTGTATCTGTTTATTTGGCTATATTTATTATTATGACTTGCATTAATAAGTAAGTTAATTTAACTGTTTTTTATGTGGATACAGAAAGTTTTTCTAACCTTTCTTTTTTATTCCATTCAGTCGAATAAACTCTTACGCAAATGTTTAAGTTATTTTGAAGAATGGACCGTAAGTACAGAAATGGTTATTAATGGAACAAGTGGCTGATGGATGCTGTTGAACTTATGTGGTTTGGTTTTCTTTCACTGAGGTAGAGATAGCACAATGGTAAAATAGAAAAATTCAAAAGAAGCAAAGTCAAATAGACTTCATGCTCCTGAGAACACCCAAAGTTCTTTCAATGTACAACTAAATAGCACAACCCTACATTCAGTTCCAACTGACTACAAAAAAATAACACTGAACAAACAAGAAGGGTGATGTTAGAAATATGCTGAAGAAGCAAACAAAAGAGGTCAAGAAAAAAAAAAGGTATTTTTGGTAGAAATAAAGGAGAAACTTTTTTTTTGCTGAAATAGGAACTTTTCAGTTAATAAACTAGGACATCTAGGATGGTGATAGATGGATGTGTGTTTTACATAAGAATGCCCGGAGATGAAAGACTTACCTGTCCTCCATTAGGTCATGTTACCTGTGGAGCATGTTGCAATCTTCATCTGACGGAACATACAACTAATTCCATACACCATGCGATTATCGTTTGGAAATCGAACACGATCAGGTTTTCGTATGATAATCGGGAAGTTGATGGAAAGTGAACGATGACAATTACTGAACTCCTGGCCGAATTTCCTCGATCGGTCAGGCTGGAAAACGTTTTTTGAATCGTACGAGAATCGGTGCCTTAGTGGCGTTTTCCATGCGAAATTCGGTCAGTTAGTATTGGTAACGAACGATAATCGAAATCGACATTGCTCTGTGCATGATGGGGTATTCAAACACAAATTGAATGATGGTTCAATGAAGGCACGAAAGAAATCGAACGATAATCGCAAGGTGTATGGCCAGCTTTAGAAGCACTTGATTTTTCTGGAAATGAACCCCATATGGCCAATTCTTTAGCTTTACTTGCTTTTTGTAGGCCATGTAAGACCACCTTGGGCCTATGGCAGTCTCTAGAAAACGGAACAATGCTCCCTGCAGATTTGGTGTAAAAAATATTAGGATCCTGAAAGAGGAAAAGTAAGACTTAAAGGAGAACTATGAGGCGAGTGAAAATCACTCAACCTCATAGTTCGAGCCGACATGTGACAATAAAACTGTCACACGTTGGCTCAATAGATAGATGCATACCGTCGCTCGCTCACTTCTCAATCATCTCCCTGCAGAGAGTGGTGACTGTCAGTCACGGCTCCCTGCAGGGATTCCCCCCTCCCCGCTCTGATCCTCCCGCGCTGACTAGAGGAATGGACGGGCGAGGGTACAGCTGGCTCTGCTTCTAGATAGGCAGAACCAGCTGTCACGCAGCTGGGTGGACCTTGACAGCATTGTCGGGCTCCATCCCGGCTGCGGTGGTCTCAGTATAATGCGAGCTGTAGCTCACGATATACTGATCTTTGGGTCACGGGAGGACACTAGTATATGTCCTCCCGTGACCCTAAGGAGAACTATGGGGAAAAACACTTACCCCATAGTTCTCTTTTAAGACACCCATACACAAAGGCTGCTGATCCTTCCAGCCAGTGGTTAGGCTCTTGAACGCTCATTTTTTTCAACATGGTTGTTTACAGCAGTGATTGTGGGACTTGTGAGAGGAAATATGGATGGCTTTCTAGTAGTAGCTCCACACTAGCTGCCATTTGTGCTGTGGACTGTGCTGATCTATACCAGAAATGAATCTTCAATATTGACAGGAGCAGTGGCGGAACTATCGCCATAGCGAACCAGTCGGCCGCTATGGGGCCAGGACCACGAACCGAGAGGTCCCCCTGATGCCATGCAGGCCGTCTGGGTCTCTATGGCATCGCAGGCTGCAGGACTGTCACTGGTGGCTGTGAGAAGGAACGCACCGCTGCCCAGATCACTGACAACCTTTGTGATCTGTGCAGCGGTCAGGGCCTGGCATCGGCAGTGGAGGAGGCCGTGGCTGGCAGTGGAAGAGGCTGACAGCGCATTGGGGCTGACAGGAAGGAGGTGTGCAGGGGTGTGAGCAGCCCACCTGAGACCCTGCAGAGCCCACCATAGAGAGGCTGTGTGGTATCTCAGCTGTGCGGGGTCTCAAGTGGGCTCTGCAGGGTGTCAGGTGGGCAGTGCGGGGTCTATAGTATGTGCGGGGTCTCAAGTGGGCTCTGCAGGGTTTCAGGTGGGCTGTGTGGGGTCTATGGTATGTGCGGGGTCTCAAGTGGGTTGTGCGGGGTCTCAGGTGGGCTCTGCAGGCTGTCAGGTTGGCTGTGTGGGGGTCTCTGGTATGTGCAGGGTCTCAAGTGGGCTCTGCATACAAAATTTTGCTATGGGGCCCTGTGATTTATAGTTATGCCCCCGGACAGGAGTATACCTGTAATGCATGTGTACCAAAATACTGAATTCCATCAAGTTCATTTACATTAATCATAATTGACCTAATCTTACAGCTTGCACCTGCCATTACACAAAGCAGCTAAGACTGGTCTGAAGAGTTAAAAAGTTTACAGCAGGTAGATATGAGTCATTCCGATCTACCTGAAGGGGAGTCCTATGGCACACCTGTGCAATGACAAAGATAAGCCTAGTCAGGGAGGAGAGACCTGATCAGCAGCCCAGCCCCACTCTCATATTTGAAGTGTACACAAGTAATAGAAAGTGTTACATTGCACAATGCTCTGCATTGTAACACGGCACTGAAAAGGACTATTGGAAAAGTGACTATGAAGACGATTATATACGCATGCTGTTACCTGGTTTCATAAGGATTGCAAGATTTACACTGCATGAAGAAATAGCAAAAGCTGAAAGACAGTGAAACCATGACAAAGGAAGAAGATGGGAAGACAAGACTGGCTGGATGGGGGAGCAATGCTCAAAAGATGCTGGGTAATGTCACCGGCACTGTCACTGGTACTGTCACAGGCCTGGTGCAAACCGTTCGGAATAAAAACAGTCAAGGTCCCACGGAAAATCATGAGATATGTAAGTCACATTCATATAAAGCGGATGTTATTGTACTTGTAGTTGTTGGCTAAGTGCAGATCTTATAATGGCAAAGAGGGTACTGAGAAACATGCCCATCTCTGTTAGAATCATGTGTCTCACAACTTGGCCAAGGGTACAATATGACACATGACCTGGTTTCATTTGCAGATAATTACAGAATTTTTTCTTACATTTTGATAAGCTGCTGAAATACTCAGGGAAGCTTGAGTTGATTGATAAACACGTACTGTAGCTTAATGGAGTACTAGTTCTACAGAGCTTGTGCATGTCAATATCTCTTTAAGGCAAGATCTCCTTTCGGCCATGGGAAAGCTTAATATTTGGTCCCCTTACATGCTTAAATGATAGGGACTGAGGCTTGTGTGTATGAGACCTTCACAAAATAGCTGACAATACAAAAAATGTGCCTTAAGTACAGATTAGATTGTTCTGGCACCATGGTTTCACCAGTCTGTAGTTTAATTGCAGGGCCTGCATGCTTTGGATGCAAAGAAGTTCACAGCACAGGATGAGAGCAGACCTAATTCTGACATAGTGTAACTCTATTAGATCATTAGGAAGCTACACGTATAAGCATTTTCTAATAAATTCAAGGAAAGTCATAGGTTATCCCGATGCTTGCTGGCTTTCAAGGATGAAAATACATTTTAGGCTACACATGGGACATCCAGCAATCTCTCCTTTATGCTGGAGAGGTAAATGGAACTATGTTGCAGACACGGTGGACTTGTGAAAGATTAAAACGTTTTACCAGGTAATTTTGGATGTCTATGAAAAACAAATTGATATTAACGCACCCTAGGAGATTCCAGGCGTATATTCGGGCATATAATAATTTGTTATTTCGGATTCGGACGAACTGCCGAATCAACGGAATTTCACAATTCAGCAAGTTCGTCCCCATTCGAATGCACAGGCATTCGAATTCTAATAATACTTGTTCTTAATACCAAGGAGGCTGCCAAAGAAACGTCATGATACTTGTTCTTAATATCAAGGAGGCTGCCAAAGAAACGTCATGATACTTGTTCCTAATACTAGTTTGTTAAGTTAAATGTGCCATTCTTTTACTCCAAAGCCACATTCAAGCTCCTAGACAGAAAAGCTGAGCCATCTGAGGATTCTCATCTAGGTATTTTGTTTTAGTCCTTTCAATGTGACCTGTTTCTTTAAAAAAACTAACATGCTCTTAAACCTGGAATTAAAATGACTGGCTTTAGTAAATCATACCCTAAGTGAATAACCTGTCAACATAAAGACGCATAACCTGCTGGTTCATACATTCTTGTTTGTCTTGTTTAGTCAGAGCTTTGTTTGATCTAAACCTAAGAAGAGCACTTTCTTTCACAGAGTGCTTTGCATTACTTCTTCAGGTTATTTAGATAAGCAAATTACAAAAACAAAGTGCCATGGACATGTGTAACCCACCATTAAATTCATTAAGCAATGTAATTTCTATTGTCAAGCTTATGACTAATTGCCTGTATCACATGGTTTAGTGGTCAACTGGCGGTACTTACAGTACACTGTTTTGCTGAACATTAATCCACTGGCACATTTACCTATGTTAATGTTCCACCCAGGTTTTTTATCCAGCGCCAGCCGTATTGAACTGGACATTCAGGTTTTAGGTGGTGCCCTCAAGGGGCAGCACAAGACAAAATGGCCACCTCTTGTCCATGTGTCTACTGGATCTATAAACAAATAGAAACCTGTGCAGTGATTCAGTGATGACTCAGATCAAAAGGCGATATGGATAGATTTTACGGAGACAGGTGAATGCAGGAAGCAGTGATAGTTTCTACTATTGTTTGTACTAGGGATGCACCGATACCGGTATTTTGGTACCAAGTACGAGTACCAATAATTTTTTTTGACGTGACGAGGGAGCATGGAGCAGCTTCCCGGCCAATCGGGCAGCGTGTAATGGCGTGCTGCCCGGCTTCCTGATACCGGAAGTACTCGTGCTAGGCATCGGAGCATTTGGGCGAGTACGAGTACTCGCCCAAATACTCTGAATCTGCACCGATATCAATACTAGTATCAGTATCGGTGCATCCCTAGTTTGTACTTATTTTAGATGAAATCATATTTTTATAGACATGTGCGATTCGTTTAGTTCCGAATTGTAATGCATCCAACAGAAATGATGATTTGTCGTGCAAATCTGAATTTCCGATAATGAACATTTTGTATGCATCCAAATTAAGTTTTATTGTGTTAAGCATCAACTTGAAAAAAAAAATCTGAATTTTCGTTAGCGGTAGTACAGTATGTACTTACGAACGAATTTTCGTTGCAGCAAAGTGACATTAGACAAAATGGTCTGGTAGGAATTTTAAGGGGGACCCCAACGTGAAGAAAAGTGGGGTCCCCCCTAAAATTCCAAACCAGACCCTTAATCCGGGCACTGGCCTGGCAGGGCGGGAAAGGGGGGGGATGAGCGAGCGCCAGCCCCCATGCCCACAGACCCCCACAACCACCGGGCCAGGACAAGGTGCTTTTTCAGGGGGTCTCCCCTTGTAAAAGTAACCTCCCCATGTCAAGGCCATGTGGCCTTGTATGACGCAGGGGGGGGGCACTCACTCGTCCCCCCCTTTCCTGAAAGGCCAGTGCCCGGATTAAGGGTCTGGTTTGGAATTTTAGGGGGGATCCCCATGTTTTTTCCCCCTTTTTTTGGCATTGGGGTTCACCATTAAATTCCTACCAGACCTAATGGGTCTGATATGACTTTCAGAGGGAACCCAACGTTTTTTTTTTAAATTGGAGGTCCCACTTAACATTCTTACCAGACCTAAAGGGTCTGGTTTCAATTGGGGGGGGCTCACTGTACCTGATTCCTTCCTCCTTTACCTGATCCCTTCCTCGTTTCCTGTACAGTATTATGCTAGCAAAGTCCTGCACAGGACCTGGCCTTTCTTTTTTATTCTGTTAAATCACTTTTATTAATTTCACTGAATATGAAAGCAAACAATGTATACAATACTTTTAACATTGCGTTACAACACCGTAACGTACAGTAGAGGTTTACAACATTCAATGGTGCATCTATAACCAGTATCATATAAAGTTCACAAAGGAGTGGATAAACCCTCCCTTATATTACGAGCCCATCTACTCATAGACTCTGTGGGGGAGACTCAGGGTAGGATAAGGGAGCGGGGAGGGAGAGGAGGATAGGTTGGTGGGGTAGGTAGGGTAGGTGTCTGTTCCGGAAGCGGGTTCAGCTCACAATTCGGCCAGAGGAAATTTATAGGTCACTGTCCCCTGGTACAGGGAGAATTTTAAAATTTAGATCACAAGCGAATCCAGGTGGAAGGTCGAGGGCATGTAGTGGGCAATCCAGGGTTCCCAGATTCTCTCAAATTTAGTAAGTGTATCGGACTGGACAGCTGACATTTTCTCTAAAAACATAACTTGCGACACTCTCTGCTTGACTCCAGAAAAGGGAACCGTAGCCGTGCGCCAGGATCGAGCAATCACTCTCCTTGCTTCGGTTAAAATGTGGGTGACCAATTTAAACTGAGTCCAAGTACATGTCACTGGTTTCTTACCAAGTAGTGCTTCCACCTGATTTTTCCGACGAATCCTAGGACACTCCCACCATATGTGGATGAAGGAGCCATCCACCTGGCAGCCTCGAAAACAGGATGGAGATCGGGAGGGAACTGCATGGGCTAATCGAAGAGGAACCAAATACCACTGCAGCAGCTGCAGTAGTTTGCTTCCACCGCTAGGACATTGGTAGAGCTCTTTGCAGTCGATGCCCAAATCTGAGACCACGTGGTCTCATCAATAGTATACCCTAATTCCTGTTCCCATTTGGCGGCATAGGGGGGAAGAGACCGTTGTAGAGGGTCCATCAAGGAAGTGTACAGATGAGATCTCAAACCCGGGCCTGGTGTATCAAGCAATATTAACTTTTCAAAGGGCGTCATACTAGTCAGATCCACAGTCGTTCCAGCGCATGTCTTTAAGAAGTGTTTTATCTGTAGATATTGAAAAAGGTCTCTAGTATTAAGTTGATGTTTGGCCTGGAGCTCCGGGAAGGGCACTATACCTGATGTAGTATAGAAATGCCGAGCCTGGACTAGTGAGCGTGCTCTCCATTTATTAAAGGCTGATGGATGATCATATCCTGGCAAGAAAAGGGGGTTCCCTTGTATAGAGACAAGAGGAGTGTGTGGAGATATCCATCTGTGGGATACCTCCAGGGCATCCCAAAGGCGAAGGGTAGTTTTGGTGATCGGACAAGTTACATTTGTCCGCATTTTCGGGGGTATCCACGGGAGGTTGATCAGAAGTGTGGGATCACATAGGTATGCCTCCAAGGAGACCCACAAGGGAACCTCCCTCTGTGAGTGCCAGGTAAGCAGGGGGACCATTTGGGCAGCTGCGTAATACTTTTGAAACAGCGGGAGTCCCAGGCCCCCTTGGGCTTTGGAGCGGTAGAGGACCGATCGAGCTATTCTAGGGATGGAGCCGGACCAGATGAATCTTAGAATGCGACTCTGGAGAAGTCTTAGGTCTCGTTCACACCTAGGCGTATTGCATATGCGCGTCTGTCGCGCGTTTTTTTACCGCGATTCGCGGTAAAAAAGTCGCGCGACAAACGACCGTTTCCGAAGGCTACTTGGCTGTATCCCAATGGAAATGCGCAACAAAACGGCCCAAAGTAGTACATGTACCTTTTCAGGCGTGGGCCGTTTTGTAGCGCGTTAGGGACGGGCGGAAATACGCCCAGGTGGGAACGAGACCATTGAATACAATGGGATTTATATTTTTGAGCGTTTTGTAGAGCGTTCGTCGAGCGTAGAACGCGCTACAAAACGTTCAGGTGTGAACGAGGGCTTAGTCTAAAAGCTAGGATAGGGATAGGTAGGACTCTAACAAAGTACAAAAATTTAGGAAGGTGGGACATCTTCACGGCTGTAATTCTACCTAACCAGGATATATGATGTTTACTCCACGAATCC